CCTTCCCCGCTTCCTTACTCTCACCTCCCCACAGGGTCTCACTCTGTCACCCGGGCAGGAGCGTACAATGGTGTGATTTTGTCTCACTGCAGTTTTCCTCTCCTGGGTTCACTCAAGTGATCTTCCCACCTCAGCCTCCCAAGTAGCTGGGACTACAGGTACATGCCACCATACCGGGCTAATTTTTTAAAAAGTTTTTTGTAGAGACGCGGTTTTGCTGTGTTAGCCAGGCTGGTCTCAAATTCCTGGGTTCAAGCGATGTGACCACCTCGGTTTCCCAAAGTGCTGGGACTACAGTTATGAGCCACCATGCCCGGCCTGCTTGTATCTTTCATTAGCACATCCTTTGTTCTGTTTGAATTAGTCTGGCAGAGTTTGTTTGAGTCTTGTTGAGAAATGGCTCTCTGACACCCAAATCTTACGCAAGTTATATTTTTGCTGGGATTAGCTCAAAGGATACATTTTTAGCAAAGGAACATACGTTTATTTTATTTTATTTATGTTTTATTTTTTGAGACAGGATCTCTGTCTGTTGCCCAGGCTGGAGTGCAGTGGTGCAGTCATGGCTCACTGCAGCCCCAGCCTCCCCAGGTTCTGCTGATCCTCCCACTTTAGCCTCCAGAGTAGGTGGGACTACAAGCGTGCACCACCATACCTGCCTAATTTTTATATTTTCTGTAAAGACAGGGTTTTGCCATGTTGCTCAGCCTGGGCTCAAACGATCTGCCCGCTATAGCCTCCCAAAGTGTGGAATTACAGGCATGGCATGAGCCACCATGCCCATCCATGGAACATAAGTTTAGAAGATAATTAGTGAGTATGGCTTTTGGAGTCTATACTTTCTTCACTGGAAATCCTCAGATAATGGCAATGATACTCTACTTGTTGAGAGTGAGATTTTGCCAGTTTGTGGAGAAACCCGGAGTCAGGGGTTTACCAGGCCTTTTATACTCCCATCCCCCTAATCCTGATAATTTTACATGGTTGAAAAAATTGCCTTTAGCAGGCCACATCATTTGTATTTAACATATTTGTTTCCAGTACAATTTGTATAACAAGTGTTCTTTTATTGTATTGCCCACTAGTGATTTAATAGTAAGTATCATGTGCAACTTTATGAAGGCATGCACTGTCATTTATTTTCGTATTATAAAGCCCAGGAGTGACAGAGCAGGGCAGGGCAGGGCAGGGCAGGACCTAGCATACTGCCCTGTGTTAATTATGAATCTTTCCTACTGGATTATAACCTCTATTTTATTAATCCCTGAGTTTCTTGTTTTACCTAGAACCTGACTCAGGATAGGTACTCAAAAAATATTTATTGAATTGAATGAAATTGCTGGAAGAACCTACATTGGAATATCATCCTCTGGAACATATTTATCATCTCTTTGTAATTGAGGTTACTGATTATGGAGTACTGGCCTATTAGATATGAGATCTGGGTTCTGCCAAGTGTAACCCATTAGTCTCTAGTATCTGTTGGGACTAAAAGTCTCTTAGTACAATGTAGGACCCCTTTTGCTGTTCATGAGAGTTGTATTCTGCAAACTGTAGGCACTGGGAAATGTGTAAATACGATATGCTAAGCCTGTGATTAGTAAAGATACCATTCTTAATTAAGTACCAAACTATAGTTCTTGAAAGGTTAGTGCCCTCTAAAGTTTTCTTCCTGATACAGTAATATAACTAGTAATAAATGCATTATATTGAATCTTTACCATATTTTAGGCACTAAACACTTTATATATTTAGGCACTAATAAGCACTTTATATATTGTCCTTCACAACAACTCTATGAGTTATAGGTTCTGTTATTCTCATTTTTACAGATGAGGAAACTGAGGTTTCAAGTATTTAGTAACTTTTCCATGATAGCTGATATGTGGCAGATCCAGGATTTCAGCCTGTTTGGCTCCGAAGTGTGTATGCTCTTGGCCACTGCTCTTACAGGCTCAAAGAGTATCACAACTGGAAAGCCCTTAGGGCTCATCTAGTCTGTTTTGTTTATTAGACAGAGAAGGAAACTGAGGCCTCCCAGTTCAGTGTTGGATCCTGCTGCTCTCAACTTAGGGGAATTGTAGAAACATGTGATCTGAGAAAGCTGGCTTTTTAACTTGTTGGTGTACATTGTAAATATTGAAAACCATGACTTTGAGAATCGTAAATCATAAAAGCTTCACATCTGTTTCTCCTGTGAGAACACACTTATGGACAGAAATACATAGGATGATATATATTGGAATTCCTATCTTCATGATTTAGCTAGGATCTTTTATTCCTTTCATAGTAATAGTACCTTCTTGTTCTCAGTAGCTCTTTATACTATCTCTTTCCCAACAGAAGTTGAAAAAATTCTCAGCAAAGAATATTGTATATATGTTTCCCTCTCTTTGTGTGTGTGTGTGTGTGTGTGTACGTACATATATACAATATGACTAATCAAGGGAATTAGAAGTATGGCAGAAGAATCAGATATGTTCATGTGAGTTGAATAATTATGCTTAGAGGTCAAATTTGGTTCTCAATTTCCTAGTAGCCAGGGCAGAAAAGGAAATGTGATAGTTCCTATTTTTTTTTATCAAATATAAGAAATATCCTACATCTTTAAGACACAAAGCTTTTTTACTACTAAATGTTTAAAAACAAAAAAAAAACAAAAAACACCATTTTTGGTTAAGAGGCTCTGAGAATTACATAAGGAATTGTTAGGCCAGGCATGGTGGCTCATGCCTGTAATCCCAGCACTTTGGGAGGCTGAGGCGGGTGGATCACTTGAGGTCAGGAGTTCGAGACCAGCCTGGACAGTATGGCGAAACCCCGTCTCTACTAAAAATACAAAAATTAGCTAGGCATGGTGGTGGGTGCCTGTAGTCCCAGCTATTCAGGAGGTTGAGGCAGGAGAACTGCTTGAACCCGGGAGGCGGAGGTTGCAGTGAGCTGACACCATACCACTGCACTCCAGCCTGGGCAACAGAGTGAGACTCTGCCTCAAAAAAAAAAAAAAAAAAAAAAAAAAAGAAGGGAATTGTTTTCCGTAACAGTTTTACTGAAAATATAGATGCAATTTTCATATATTTTCTCCTAAATAGTCATTAAAGGTTGAAGGTACGGCCCAAAGTACAGCGCAGTGAAAGTGATTTGGGAAAGGACCAAGCTACTGAACTTTTTACTAAATGAATTAGCATTATTGGATTTGAGGATAGAACAATAAATTCCTAGATCAATTCTCCTAAACTGTAGTATTGCAATATACTACTGGGTCATGATCTCCCAATACCTTCCCCAGAGGTAATTGTTATTCTGATTATCACCATGGTTTAGGCTTACCTCAGAAGAAATGGAATAAAACAATATGAACTCGCTTGTCTAGCTTCTTTCCCTTAACATGTCTGTGAGATTCAACCCATTGTCAGTGTACCAATTACTTATTTTATTGCTGTGTAGTTTTCTGTGTAGTATTATATGAATATAACACTATTCATTTTTCCATTCTCTTGGACATTGGGGTTCTTTCTGGTTATTGGCTATTATAAGCAAATCTTCTATGAACATTTCTGTGTATATCTTTTGGTGGCTATACAAACTCATTTCTTTTGGGAATATACCTAGGATTGTAATTACTAGGGTATAGGTAGATGTATGTTTATCTGTAAGTAGATGCTGCCAAACAGTTTTCCAAAGTGGTCTGTTTTAAGATGTCCTTCAATTCGGGGATGATCGGAAGCTTTCCACATAGCACCCTTTACAAACAAGGATGCCCTTATGTCTTGTAACGCTTACTGGGGAAGAATGGTAAATAGTCATGTGTCTTTTGCTATTTTTCTCCTTTCTAGCATCAATTCCTGAAGATTGCCAAGCCCCTCTCCAGCCTCACTCCACTGATTGCTGCCGCAAAGGAGGCAACAAAGAACAATCACTAAAACCACACCCACCCCAGCCTCATTGTGCCAAGCCTTCTGTGAGATAAATGCACATTTCAGAAATTCCAACTCCTGATGCCCTCTTCTCCTTGCCTTGCTTCTCCCATTTCCTGATCTAGTGCTCTCAAGACTTTGATCCTTGGAAACCATGTGTCCAGCATTGAAGAGAATGGCAACTGAATGACTAATCAGATGATGGCCACTTCTAAATAAGGAATTTCCTCCCAATTCATGGATATGAGGGTGGTTTGATTAAGAGTTTATATGAATAAATGTTTCTAGTCTTCCATACGGCAAAATCCTCACCTCCTTCATAACCATCCCCTATAATTAATTCTTGACTATATAAATTTATGGTTTGATAATATCAATTTGTAATCAGTTGAGATTTCTTTAGTGCTTGCTTTTCTGTGACTGAACTGCCCAGACACCTCATTGTACTTGAAAACTGGAACAGCTTGGGAATGCCATGGGGTTTGATAATCTGCCAGGGACATGAAGAGGCTCAGCTTCCTGGACCATGACTTTGGCACAGCTGATCCTGACATGGGAGAACAACCACATTTTTCTTTATGTGTGCTTCTAGCAGCTGTTTGGGAGGACCTTGACCCAATAGTGTTCCCATGCTGTTTCTTGTGAAATGCTCTCGGCTATGTAGCAGCTTTTGATTCCCTGCATACCCTAGGCTGCTGCCCCTATCTTGTCCCTTGTTTATAACATTGAGAGGTTTTCTAGGGCACATACTGAGTGAGAGCATTGTTGAGAAGTCAGGGGAAAAAAGGTGACTACTTTTAGAGCAAGGCTGGGCATCAGCACCTGTCCAGCTCTACTTGTGTGATGTTTCAGGAACTCAGCCCCTTTTTCTGCCTGGGGTAAGGAGCTGAAAGATTAACTTGGATCTTCTAATGGTCTAAATCTTTTGGTCACAATAAAGAGTCTCCAGATTAGAGACTGCATGTTAGTTCTGGATGGATTGGGTGGCCTGACATGATACCCTGCCAGCTGTGAGGGGACCCTGTTTTTAAGATGCATGGCCAAGCTCTCTGCCAATGGAAATGCTTACACTGGGTGTTGGGGATGTTTGCTACCTCCTGCTATTTTTGTGGTTTTGGTTCTCCCACTATGGTAGGACCCCCAGCCAGCATTGTGACTTGTCATGTCAGCCCCATTGACTACCTTCTCATGCTCTGAGGTACTACTGCCTCTGCAGCATAAATTTCTATGTCCGTCAATAAAAGGAGATGAAAGTATTCTATTGGAGTATGCCTTTTTTCTTTTGTTCTCTCTTTCCTTTTCTAATTTTTTATATGAAATAATGAATAGTTTCTTTCTGAACAATTTGAGAGTGGTAAGTTGCAGATAGGATGCCCCTTTACCACTATATACTTGAATGTGTATTCTTTCTTTTTAACACTTTTATGTTAAATATAAATAAAGATAAATGGACCAAAACCATTTGTATTGTTTAAAGAATAATTATAAACACACTTGTATCCATCAAATCAAGAAATGGAACACTGATAATAAGAACCTTCTCTATCTTGTCTTTCCCTTTCTCATAGCCCCCACCCAAGAGGTAACCACTTGTCTTGACTTTTATTTAAATAACTTTCTTGCTTTTCTCTATACTTTCATCACATTCAGGTGTGTTCCAATACAAGTTGATTTTAGTTCGGCCAGTTTTTGAACTTTAAATAAACATATCATAATAGATACGTTCTTTTGTGCCTGTTACTGTTTCCACTCAAGATTATGTTTTTAAGATATATGTACCTAGTTTGTGTGTAGCTCTAGTTCATTTATTATTCCGGCTGTAAGCACTTGAGAGGAAAGTTTTAACTTGTCCAAGATGAATTCTCTGAGGACTGGCCTTCCAAAGGAGTTGGCTTTCTGCAGAACTCTGTCATAATGGACTACAGCCAACTGCTCAAGGCAGCCATACCTGGTAGAATTCTCAGGTGGCTAATCAGGCCACGGGTCTGTCACATCCTACAGCTACAACCATAAGGCTTGAGCCCCAGCTCTGATCACACCAGAGAAAATGCTACTCAAAGATGGCACAACAGAGCTAGAGGCCAGTGTTCTGTTGTGTGGTTTTACTATTGGATCACAGCACCTAATAACTACTAGAGAAGATGTGGTGCTTCTTAGGTATGCAAAATATAATCCCCATGGCTCAGTGCCTGGAGTCCTTCTCTGGAGTATGATATCTGGGCCCTACTACATTTCTTTGCCCCAGAAGGTGATGGACGTTAGAGTTTCCACACTCCGGCTAATGTTCTGTAACCACATGTTTCCACCAATAAAGCAGGCTCTAAAAGGTCTGGAGTGGATACTGCCTTATCAGCTGCCCTTGTCTGCTTCATAATGGCAGCAGTAACTGGGTATTATGGAAACCAACCAAGGAATTAGAGAACCAAGATTCACCTTGGGTGAGAAAATGCCCTCTTGGCACAGGACAGCTGGCCAACCATATTCAAGGACTGGGATTGTGGGTCACTGACCGGTTGCAGAAACAAAACCTGCCAAGCCAAGGAATTTAAGAGTTATATTCCTGAGAATAGAGATCTAGGGGTGGGGGATATCACCCAGGATGGTATTCCAAGGTTGTTTTTAAGAACCTTAGAGTCACCTATGAGGAGACTTCCACTGCAGGAAAGGCTGGACGACTAGCTTTGATTAAGTTCCTGAGAAGCTTAGATTCACTGTGAACTAGAGACTTGAGGTAGAAGTTAGTGATGATCTCTTCAGGGACAGAATTCTGTGGTTACTAATGACCTTGGAGGAAGCTGTCTCCCAGGAGGGGTTCATTGAGAGTAAGGCTGAATCAGTACTGGATGAATTTTAAACTAATCATGTGGAATATGTCCCCTGATGACATGCCCCTTGTGTAAAGAATGGCATATGACCTTACCTGAGCAGAGCCAATCAAATGGGACCCTTCCCTGATGTTCCTCCCTTGGCTGTGAGTGAGGAGCAGCTTGAGATGTCAGTGTTACTAAGGTGTTGCTCTTTCCTAAAAAGCAAAGATTAGGAAGGCCTAAAGAGGTGGTCTATGTGAGATGCAAAAAAGATATCTAGTACAGTAGTCCCCACTTAGCCGCTGCTTCACTTTCCGTGGTTTTAGTAACCCACAGAACAATAAGATACTTGGAGAGAGAGAGAGACCACATTCACATACGTTTTATTACAATGTATTGTTATAACTGTTCTATTTTATTACTCTTGTTCATCTCTTACTGTGCCTAATATGTTAACCTTTATTATAGGTCTATGTATAGGGAAAAAAAAACATAGTATATACAGGGTTTGGTACTATCCATGGTTTTAGACACCCATTGGAGGTCTTGAACATATCTCCTGCAGATAAGGGGGGACTACTGTGTAAGGTATTGGTCTATGTGATTACAGAGACTAACTCTTGGGATCTGTTCCACAAGCTTGAGACCCAGCAAAGTTGGTGGCATAGTTTGAAGGCCGGAGAGCCAGGGAGCCAATGGTGTAGACTCCAGTCTGAGTCTGAAGGACTGAGGACAGGAGCTCTGAGGGCAGGAGAAGATCAATGTCTCAACTCAAAACAGGCAGACAGCAAATTCAACCTTCCTTTTGCCTTTTTGTTCCATTCAGTCCATCAGCAGAAGGGATGATGCCCTTTCATGCTGGGGCGTGCCACCAGCTTTCCTCAGTCCACCAAATCAAGTGCACCCCTCTTCTGAACATACCTTCACAGACACAGCCAGAAGTAACAGTTAACCAGTCATCTGGGCATCCCAGGTCCCAGTCAAGTTGACTCATAAAATTGTCACCCTTCAGGGCCGGGCGTGGTGGCTGATGCCTGTAATCCGAGCACTTTGGGAGGCTGAGGCAAGAGGATCACAAGGTTAGGAGTTTTAGACCAGCCTGGCCAACATAGTGAAACCCTGTCTCTACTAAAAATACAAAAAAAAAAAATTAGCTGGGCATGGTGGCAGGCACCTGTAATCCCAGCTACTTGGGAGGCTGAGGTCGGAGAATCGCTTGAACCCTGAAGGCAGAGGTTGTAGTGAGCCGAGATCACGCCACTGCACTCCAGCCCAGGCGATGGTGTGAGAATCTGTTTCAAAAAAAAAAAAAAAAAATTGTCACCCTTTTTAACCACAATTTTAGGTAAAAGAGATATCCCTTAGGGGAGACCAACTATGTTGACAGCTTTTTTTTTTTTTTTTTTCTTTTCGAGATCAGGATCTCACTCTGTTGCCCAGGCTGGAGTGCAGTGGTGGGATCTCAGCTCACTGCATCCTCCACCTCCTGGGCTCAAGTGATACTCCCACCTCAGCCCCACAAGTAGCTGGGACTACAAGTATTAGCTACCACACCCAGCTGATTTTATTTTATTTTATTTTATTTATGATTATGATTATTATTTTTTTTGTAGAGACAGGATTTCACCATGTTGCCCATACTGATCTCAAACTCCTGAGCTCAAGTGATCCAGCCACCTTGGCCTCCCAAAGTGCTAGGATTACGGGCATAAACCACACACCCGGCCTGAGCTGACAGCTCTTATGCTATGGGGTAATGGCTTTTAGATCAAGGGGTCAAAAGTGATGAGACTGGTGACCCCCAATGTTGTTTTATTAGGGAAAAAATCCCAAAAGGTACAGGAGTGCCTCCATGCAGTTGTTGAAAGGACAGGTAACAGACTGACAGTTTATGGGTGAGATATAGAGAATGCTAGCTGATGGTATAGCCCATCCAGGAGACAGGAGTGATGAGAACCCAAAGATTGCACCCTGATTTTAAGACTGTGATGGTAAACTGGTATGTTTGATGAGGACTAAAGAATCATTAATGATCACCCCTCTGGATTCGTAGAGTTGTCTGATTCATTAGGTGTTAAGACAGAAGCATTGGTTGTCCTGTGAACTTTCCAACACAATTTAGGCTCTGTAGGAATGACTGTTTACTACTAGGATGTCTAGATATCCATTCAGACAGTGGATCATGCCCAGGCATCTTAACACAGCACATTCCTATATCTTTTACTGCCTGCAGAGTATGAAGGCAAGAGAACCCTGAAACTCTATTCATAGACACTTGCAGCTTGTCTAATTCTATATGTCCTGAATACATTTATTGCCTGCATTAGTTTTCTATTGCTACATAACAAATTACCATAAACTTTGTGGCTTAAAACAACACAGATTATCTGATAGTTTCTATAAGTCAGAAGCCTGCACAGCATGGCTGAATTTTCTGCTCAGGGCCTCATCAAACTGAATGAAATTCCCCAGGTGTTGGTTCAGGCTGTGGTTCATGTGGAGCTGGGAGTCTTCTTCCAGGCTCACTGGTTGGTTGTAGAATTTATTTCCTTATAGATGTAGGACTAAGGTCTTATTTTCATGCTAGCTGTCAGCTGGGGACCACTCAGCTCCTAGAGGATGCCTGCAGTTTCTTGCCACATGGCTCCCATAGGTAACTCACAAAATACATGTTTGTTTTCTTCCAGGTCAGCTAGAATATATCTCTCTGACTTTGCTTCTGCAACTAGCCAGAGAAAACTTTTTTTTTCTCCAAGCCCTTTAATATTCACTTAAACAGTTGAGGCACAAGCAGTAATAAAACTGCATTTTTTTTTGAGAGAGTCTTGCTCTGTTGCCCAGGCTGGAGTGCAGTGGCACGATCTCCGCTCACTGCAAGCTCCGCCTCCTGGGTTCACACCATTCTCCTTCCTTAGCCTCCCGACTAGCTGGACTACAGGCACCTGCCACCACACGCAGCTAATTCTTTTGTATTTTTGGTAGAGACAGGGTTTCACCGTGTTAGCCAGAATGGTCTCAGTCTCCTGACTTTGTGATCTGCCCACCTCGGCCTCCCAAAGTGCTGGGATTACAGGCATGAGCCACTGCACTGGGCCCTAAAACTGCATTTTTTGCATTACAAGAAGATTGTGTATGCTATGGTGCATGATATACCAATTTTCTAATCTCTTCTGCAATGACATTTCATTAACACTCTGGTCCACAGGTTGATTTCATAAAGTCAGAATGGCAGGCAGGAAGTTGGTAAAATAAACTTACTGAGAGGCAAAAGGAACCAAACATTTACTGACTGCCTACTATGCACGCTCCACTAGGTTTTACACATGTTACATAAATGTGAACCTAAATTCTAGTTATCAGTTAACAGGCCACCATTGCTATGGCCAGTAAGTCTATGTTTTAAATGTTCTTTCACCTTAAGTACGAATTGTGGAACAAAACAATGGATCTTTGCCCAAAGAAGCATGTCAACTGTTGCACTAATACGTTATTCCCATTTCCAAAGTTTTTGTTTTTAGTAAGTGTAACATTAACACATGGAAACATTCAAGCTGTTTATTACTCCACTGAAATTTGGGATTTTTTCGTTCTCACCTGCTGAGCACCATTTGGCCAGCATCACTACAACGACCTGATTCTATCACCTTGTAAAACTTAAGATGGGAACGGATAGTGTTTGGTGATTCCATTTTTGGGAAAAAAAGTGCTGATTTTTTCTTTAACTTGACACAGCTAGCTTTAAAAAGTAGTACCTCATTTTAAAGCACCAAGGTTGTCATTTAAATAAGAAAATGTACTTGGCTTAATGAGCTATAAAATGAAGCTATCACTGCCTTTTCAAGCATTACAGGAAAGCCAGTATGTTCAGAGCCAAGTGATACTCAGCTCATACTGCACTCCAGTTCACAAGGAAATGGTGTTTCTACCCTCCCCAAACCTAAGCTGCTTCTCACTCCTCCAGCCAGCCCTCCTTTTTCTGAGCCTGTTCTTTCCATGCTGAGCTGCCTGCCCCTTGCTCCCTTTCCCACCCCTGTTCTCTCTCTAACTGCCCCTCTATATACATCTGGGTTGGTGCCTAAGATTTCTTAGCTGCCTGGTTAATCACTGACCAATCACCACTACACTGCTTTGGATTTGGGATCCCACTAGTAAAACTAACTGGCATGTTTGTACTTGTCAATCCCCCGCCCCGCCCCCGCCAAAAACATCCTGTGTCACCAAAACAGCACTGTTTAAGGGTTCAGGATCACAAACCCTCAAGATACCTGAGAAAGGTCCTGAAATGTGAGTCACCTAGTCTAATAGTAGAGGTTAAGTTCAGAGATGAAATGTGACTTACTCAAGGCTCTGCAGCTAATCAGAGGCAGAAACTAGAACTGTTTCCCTTTCCACTACACCACAAAAACCCGAGGTTAATAAAGATTAAGAAGAGTTTGTAAGTAAACCAAAATAAAATGCCTAGTACATAGGAAAAGTCTTTGGGATCTTTCCACAGAAGTTTAGACAGAATAAAGGCAATCTTTACAATGAGAAATGCTACTCAGTTTAACAGATGCCGCCAAGTACCAAGGATCCTTACTCAATTCTGAAATGGAATCTGTGACTACGGAAAATATGTCACTATTTGAGAATAAGAGGTCCCACCTGCTCCATTCTTTTCAAGTTTTCAGTCACAAGGTTGTAACTTACTCTCATCGTTTAACAAGATAAATTAAGTTGAAGTAGGATTTGGTACATTGACGATAAAAGCAAAAGGCAACAAACATTTTTACAAGCAGATCATCCCAGTTACCTTAAAAGTTTCAGATTAATTTACAGAGAAGTGACAGAACCATATAATTTCAGTGAAAATCAACAAGATAGTTATACCATTAAAAAAAGATCAATTTGGCCAGGCGCGGTGGCTCACGTCTATAATCCCAGCACTTTGGGAGGCCAAGGCTGGCAGATCACCTGAGGTCAGAAGTTCGAGACCAGCCTGACCAACATGGAAAAACCCTGTCTCTACTAAAAATACAAAAAAATTAGCCAGGCATGGTGGTGCATGCCTGTCGTTCCAGCTATTCGGGAGGCTGAGGCAGGAGAATCGCTTGAACCTGGGAGGCGGAGGTTGCGGTGAGCCAAGACCATGCCATTGCACCCCAGCCTGGGCAACAAGAGTGAAACTCTGTCTCAAAAAAAAAAAAAAAGAGAAAAAAAAAATCAATTCGGAAATACTAAGACAAGCATGCAAAATTCAGAATATAAAAAAACGCAAGGCCTGGTTGCCCACATACATTCCTTAGGTTAAAGTGGATTTAAAGATGCTTATCAGAACCCAGTGAATCAGAAGCTGAAAGGAACACTTTGGTGATCAGCAGACACATTCTCTCATGTAAAAAATGGAGGGAAAGTGAGCACACAGGAACTGGTGAATCTCACAAGGCTAGATTAGGGGTGTACATAGCCCTAATTCCTGGTGCTATTTGCAACTACATATATTTAAAATACAAGGAGGTAAATACCCAGAACACATTAAGCCCACTGATTTAAACAAAGCATTTCAAGACCGATATACAGAAAGGGAATGAAGTTGTTAACACAGGACAGCAGCACACCTCACATATTTATGTCTAAGCGATTAAATGGAAATAAATGATTGCTCAAAAACTTTAACGCTCAGTTTTCACAAACACAATCAAGTCTATCAAATTTCCGGATTTACAGCAAAATGTACAAGCTAAAAAAGTGTACATTCTTCAGTTTCTCCTATACTTATTCTTTTTCCCCCCTATTTTCAAAACTGAGCACTGGGTATTTTTAACATAAGCCATGTCATATGTACAGTTTAACTATGTTTCTAGAATAAACAAAATCCATAATATTTCAGTAATTCATAGGGTATTTATAAAATGAAAAGTTCTCTATCAAAATACACTTTTCACTGGGAAAAAAGATAGACAAATGGATCTACACAAAGTAAACATTAACTTTGGTAGATTTCAGTGTAGTTCATAACAAGCATATTTGCCCTTATTCCCCCAGAGCTGCTCAACTACCAAGAATTTTAAATATATATATATATGTATATATACACACACTTTTTTTTTTTTTTTTTGAGATGGAGCGCTCACCCTGTCGCCCAGGCTGAAGTGCAATGGCATGGTTTCAGCTCACTGCAACCTCCACCTCCTGGGTTCTACCGATTATCCTGCCTCAGCCTCCCGAGTAGCTGGGCTTACAGGTGCCTGCCAACACACCCGGCTAATTTTTTGTATGTTCAGTAGAGATGGGGTTTCACCATGTTGGCCAGGCTTGTCTCGAACTCCTGACCTCATGAGCCACCTGCCTCGGCCCCCCAAAGTGCTGGGATTACAGGCGTGAGCCGCAGCGCCTGGCCTTAAATATTTTTAACTAAGATTTTATTATGTTGACATTTGTTTCTCATTCCACATCATCTTCAGCCAAGCTCTGAGCACTTATAATTCTCTAATTTTGGGGAGCTTAGTCAGAAGCATCTGGAACACTGGTGGTGGAAGAGTTTGCTGTAAGACCTGCAGTAACTGCTGTGGCTGTCCACACACAGCAATTGCATTTGTCAGATGGTCTACACCCTTCTCATATTCACCTTGAGCTAGTAACTCTTCACCAAGCTGTGTTTCTTCAAGGAAGAATTTCTGAACAGCTTCAGCATCTTTAAGGTTAGGTAAGTTGGAAAACCCAGCTCTCTGCTTGGGAAGCTTCTGTTTCTTCGTTCTCAAAGCCTGTTCTTGAAGCTGGGGTCACTTTGTCTTTTGTGGTCGAAGTAGATGCAGTACCCGATAAAAAGGGCCCGGCATACACTGGCGGCGATGGCGCTCTTCCAACCCACAGTCTTCTCTACAATGCAGACCATGGACGGTGGCGGCAGGGACTGCGAAGGAGTGGTGGGCCACGAACCCTCAGGGCGGAGGTTGCCACTCATACCCAATGCCCGCGGGTCAGGGACTCGGAAAGCCTGAGAAAACTTTTAAAGGGCTCATGTGATTAGATCAGGCTTGCCTAGATAATCCCTATTTCTAGGTCAATTGATTGGGGAACTTAATTACATGTGCAAACCCCTTCACCACAGTACCTAGCCTGAATAACTGGGAGAAGGTATGTGGACAACAATGGCTGGGAATGTTGGTGGGTCATCTTAGAATTCCTCCCAGCTACCGGGCGCGGTGGCTCACGCCTGTAATCCCAGTACTTTGGGAGGCTGAGACAGGTGGATCACCTGAGGTCGGGAGTTCGAGACCAGCTTGACCAACATGGAGAAACCCTGTCTCTACTAAAAATGCAAAATCAGCCAGGCATGGTGGCGCATGCCTGTCGTCCCAGCTACTCGGGAGACTGAGGCAGGAGAATCGTTTGAACTTGGGAGGCAGAGGTTGCAGTGAGCTGAGATCATGCCACTATACTCCAGCCTGGGCAACAAGAGTGAAACTCCATCTCACACACACACACACACACACACAAAAAGAATTATTTCCAGCACATCCTGTGAGGGTCCATCTGGACTCAGGAGTTAGGGATGAGAAAATAACTGGAGTAGTACAACTGCACTGCAGGGACCTGAACCTAGATGTTCCTTTCCACACCTTTGCACTTTTTTTTTCCTTACCTGATTCTCTTGGGTAGTTGGGAATTCTGCACAATGCCCTACACCAAGAATGGGCAGACACCAACCTGAAGGCACTGCTGTCTCATGGCTATCTAGTGTAGCCCATCTATCTGAGGTTACACTTAACACCTTTATCCTGCATCTGATGGTATTATATACCTTGCCACATGGGCACTGGGTTAGCTTGTCCTCACCCTTGGGTGCAAGTAAATGCAGTTCAACCACTGTGGGGTCATATAAGAAGACTGGGGGTGATGGGGCTACTCCTGTTTTCCTGTTAAGCTGACTGTACTGGGCCAGATGTTATAGATTTTTTCAGAAGAAGCCCCCCACCAGAAATAAGGGAATACCTGAAATTGTAGGAGACAAGTGGAGGGAAGACATACCACCTTGTTCTCGGATCCTTCTGGGAGGACTGTCACTCAGCCATCCCAAATTCTTCCAGCCATCTCTGATTGGCTGCCAGTGGCTCCTTTGCTAATCTGTCACAATACTGGATCAGCCATCAGTTACTACGTGCAGCAGAGGAGAGCTGGAAACAGTCTAGTGTTTCGTAACATTTTACTACTTCCAGCTTCCTCTCCTACTCTGTTGAATTACGCTAGACTAGCCACCTGCCTGTGAAACTGTCAACAATTGACTCAGGTCTCAGTGTCTAGCCTGTCCTCATACTCTTGGGATGACACAGAATTCCTGGTCATCGGGAAAGGCCTGGAAACAATGCAACAGGCCTTGGTTAGCCTCTATCCAAGCCCTGTAACCATGACTGTTGTCTTTACTCCACACAGTGCATGCATGCATGTGCACACACATAACTTTGGACTGGACCATGGGTCTCTCCTAGCTTCTTCCTGTGTGGTCAAATGGCCTTGTTTGCCTCCAGAGACCAAGACCTACAACCCTAGGTAAACACTCAGCTGTTTCATATTTTCTGGGATCTTCAGGCCCCCACAGCCACAATCTGGCCTAGATATGAAGGAGAAAACTTCCCAGTTGCCAGTCAGGGATCAGGACTAGGAGTCACAATGTAGTCATATTCCTGGCCAGGAGTAATTGAAACTAAAGACAGTAAGAGAAAATCTGCAGCTATTCTAGGCTAAATAGCTAATGGAACCCGTCTAGTCATCCAGTGGATTAGCCTGGACTTCTTAACCAGGGTGGTTTTATTTTTATTTATTAGTGCTGTTGCTACTAATGTTATTATTTTAACCAAAGTGGATTTAGATCACAGAATTGATGTTTATAATCCAACAGCCAAAGGGTGGTCTGTTTATGGATTGTGATTAGCAGTAAGTAAAATCATCAGTATTCTGCATATAAGAAAAGGCATATGGTTGTCTAATGGTTATCTAACTCCCATCAGAACTCTGGTACCTCTTCTCTTGGCTGAGCCTGGGCCCTCTTAGCCCTTGATTTAGGGTAGGACTATTCATGGCTTTCTCTATTCCAGTGATTTTCAAAGTGTGGTTTCTGGATCAGTAACATTAGCATCACCTGGGAACTCTTTAAAAATGCTAATTCTCAGGGCCCTCCGTGGATCTGCAATCTGTGTTTTAAGAGACCCTCCAGGTATTTCTGATATAGCTCAATTTTGAGAACCACTGCCATAGTTGCTGTATTAACCATTCTTCATAGTTGCCTATAGGTTGAAGTGGCATATATTCCTGATGGAACAGGGAATGATGCATAGAAGCCACATACAGATTGGAGGTGGAGAACTGCAGTGGTGGAGAAATACAGCTAACTTGGGCCTTCCCTACAGGCTGGCCTCCCAGAAAAGGAGTTGGCCTTCAAGCTCCATGGAAACTGGCTACAGCCAATGCTTAAGGCAATCAGTCCTACTAGATTGCTGACCAGGCCACTTGTCTGCCATAACAAGACATAGAGTTTTGCCCCTGCTATTGTCAGGAGAGAGCCTGTCCACTCCTCACTGATAAATGAAGTGGTGAAACGGACCAGAAGCCACGGTTCTACCAGCCATGTCATGTATCTATTGGATTGCTGCCCTTGTCAGGCCAGCCATTCTTTGATGTTTCAGGCCTTTTACTCAAAAAGGTGAAGAAATCGCCTTCCTCACTGGCATTTAGGGGCTTAGTGGATTAGGAGACACTACACCATCATCATGCAAGGACCTAGCTCTCTTTTATTCCTATGTGCTGACTCCAAATGGAATGGGCTACAGCAGATCTCCACACCTACTACTGATCCAATAAACGCTGAAGGGAAGATATAATTCTTTTTTTGACCCATATAAATTCTTAATTGAGACACTCTTCTTAAAACCAAAGTCAGGGCCAGGCATGGTGGCTCACGCCTGTAATCCCAACACTTTGGGAGGCCTAGGAGGGCAGATCACCTGAGGTTGGGAGTTTGAGACCAGCCTGACCAACATGGAGAAACCCCATCTCTATGAAAAATATAAAATTAGCCGGATGTGGTGGCGCATGCCAGCCACTCGGGAAGTTGAGGCAGGAGAATCACTTCAACCCGGGAGGCGGAGGGTGTGGTGAGCCCAGATAGCGCCATTGCACTCCAGCCGGGGCAACAAGAGCAAAACTCCGTCTCAAAAAAACAAAAAATAAAAAATAAAAAACAAAACCAAAGTCAGCTTTACAAAAGAAAAATCAGCAGAAGTTTGACATACGTTGACATCATATGGGAGAGGGCTCAGTTCAAAAGTATCTTTCTCAAAGTTGAGGCTTAGGAGCCTTGTTTAAATAGCATTTTAACAAAGAGTAATAAATCCCATAATGTCAAGACAGAGGAGAGCACAGATGTCTTTTAAGAGGTGTGAAAATGTGGGAAGGTAGTAAAATCTGTTCCCAGATTTCTCTGGTGCCTGTTAGCACCCTCTCTGGGTGGATAAGCAAGTGCTGTTTGTAGTGAGGAAGGATTCATGTTCTGCCATCAGGCGAGTAGAAGCTGAGACAGTGTTCCTCTGTGTTTTCAATGTCTTTGACTTAACAATTCTCAATATTTGGGGGAGAAATATGTTGGTTTCCCTCAATGCTATTCTAGAAAGCCTAGTATGTGTGCTGTCTCATCTTTTGGCTTTGTTTGCTCCATGTTATTCCATTATATGAATATGCTGATATTTTCCATTCTTCTGTTGATAAACATTTGGGTTGAGGCTATGACAAACAATGCTGCTATGAATGTTGTTGTATATTTATCCTGATGTATCATAAACACAAATTTATATCTAGGAGATTGCTATGGTTTGGATATTGTTTGTTTGGCCCCAACAAGTCTCATGTTGAAATGTGATCCCAGTGTTGGAGGTGGAGCCTGGTGGGAGGCGTTTCAATCGTGGGGGTGGATCCCTCGTGAATGGCTTGGTCTCATTCTGGTGGGAGTAAATGAATTCTCACTTTTAGTTCCCGTGGGAACTGGTTGTTTAAAAAAGCCTGGCACTTTCCTTCTCTCTCTCTTGCTTTCTGACTGTCATCGCGTTGATATGTGTGTGCGTTCTCTCCCTTTCCCCTTCCACTGTGAGTGGAGGCAGCCCGAAGCCCTCCACAGAAGCAGATGCTGGTGCCATGCTTCTGGTACAGCCTGCAGAACCAAGGGCCAAATACACCTTTTTTTTTCTTTAGAAATTATCCAGCCTCAGATATTCCTTGATAGCAAGACAAAATCTGACTAAGACAGATACCTTAGGTGTGGAATTACTGCATCATCGCAGGGATATAGCTCTCCAACTTTTAAGATAATGCGTAAGGGTTTCCCAAAGGGGTTGTACCGATTTACAGGTGTCACTAGTATGGGAGGATACTTTGCTCAACATCCTTGCTAACGCTTGATACTGTTAAACTGTTTCATTATAACCAATCTAGTGTGTGTGTAATATTAATAGTATTTCATTGTACTTTTACTCATTTGTGAAGTGTCATTTCAAGTCTTTTCCTCATTGTTTCCATTGTTACCTTTTTTGTGTATTTTTTTGTTAAAATTCCTTATATATTTTGGATAATTATCCTTTTTCACTTATGTGTCATAAAGTCTACTCTGTTGTTTGCCAAATTAAACTTTTTATTTTTCAGTAACTTGTAGATTCATATGCAGTTGTAAGAAATAACAGAGAGAGCTCCACCAGTGGTAGTTTCTCCAACAGTACCACTTTATCAGTTTCCTCCAATGGTAGGACCTTGCAAAACCATAGTAGAATCTCTTAAGACATAGTCAAGATGCAGAACCTCTCCATCACCACGAGGATCCCTCATTTTGCCCTTTTATGGCCATACGCACTGCCCTTACTTGCCCCACTCCCTCCTTATTTCTTTCCTTCTACTTGCTTTAGCTTTATTCTGCTCTTCTTTTTCTAGGTTCTCAAGGTA